AAATAAAGCATTAAAATTTATTATTAAAAAAGGGAAAGGGAAAGGGAAGTATAGGAGGATCCTCTCCCAATGTGCGAAAATAGTACTCGAAGGCTTTATTTCCAAACCCTTGGGCATTGCTTACTGCTAGACGCCGTTGAGCAGGCAGCTCCCTGAGTTCGGAGTTCTGCTGATTCGCTGGACGTCGTAAGCGTCGGAGTTCACAGCTACCTTTCGTGCTTCTCTCTTCTGCACATCAGGTAGCGATTTCGTGTCTTTTCTTTTTTTCTCTTCTTGCTCGTTTTTCCTACGCGAATGGTTCCTCCTCGTGGTTCCGGGCGTTTTTTTTTTCCCCCGGCAAATCGTTCCCTTGGTTATATCTTCTCCTTTCATTTTTTTCTCTTGCTATGGTAACTTCATTACGCTTTTGATTTTGGAGTTATGGTGTGTGTATATATATATCTATATATTCCGTGTGAGGATGCAATTGTGAGCTCTCTTTTTGGCCACCGGTAATTTTAACCTGTGAGTTTGGATTGTAAAAATTGAAACTTTGATTGCTTGAATTTGATTTTGAAATCAAGTGATGGGCGCTTGGCATGAACGAGATTAGATTCCATGACTTGGGATTCTGATGTTTGACTTATAGAACTTTATTTGTAAACTCTGTAATATTCATTTTTTTTTTTTTTTTTTATGTATGTGTTGTTGTGAAATTTGAATAAATCTCAGCTGCTGCTGTTGTAGTGGTCTGAAAACTTGTGTTTAAAGTTTTGCTAGTGGTCTCATCTTGCTGTGTTTTTACTTGATATGAAACTTAGGCTTAGACCTTGTTGATTGTATTTTTCTGTTTGTGCATCTCAGTTAGACATAGAAATATGTTCAAAGTCTGGATAATGATTAGTCCTGCTCTGGTTTGGTTTAAGTTGAAGACCAGGACTATGACCATGTGCTAATCTCTTTTGGTATACTGCAATCGTGCCTAAAGCCTTGCTTTCATGTTGGGGGTGGATGGAAGATTCTCTTTCGGGGGCTAATGCTCTGTTGAAATAGGGTCTAAAATCCTAGTTGTTTAAGTTATTTGTTGAAATTGATTTTTTCACTTTACTTGCAGTTAGAGTTTTGCAATTATATGGTAAGTACTCTGCTTTTATGCTATGTTTTCTTAAACATTGACGCACCTGTTCTAAACTTGTCTCATCTTCTTCATCATGGAAGCATTGTTTTTCCTGCGGATCCAGAAGTCATTCTAATTTTTGAAGAAATATATATAATTAACTTCAATGTTCATGGAAATCACTAAATATATTTCAAATATTGTATTTTCCAATTGTTTCGTTCAAGAATATGAATTCTTGTTAACATATGAATAAGTATCATGCTTTCTGTTATTTTTAATTGGGTTACTCATGTATCATGAAGGTCTTTGGATAATTTTTTTGGACATTTATTGATGCTCAGAATATACAAGTGAAATCAATTAGTCAGAAAAGCCTGATAAACTACCTTATCTTAAATGTGAGGATATTTTCTTGCAAGCTTGTTATTAGTTTGAGTATTGTGGCTTCCTCAATCCAGTTCTCGTTGCATTGCAGTTTTTTTTGCTTAAATTTTCCTTTTGCTCATCATTTTTACAGCTAAGCCCATCCTTGAAGACCTTTTACTTCAGTCTGACATTTTGACATCTATAAGACTTCACCTCAACCCAGCAAACTTGTGGACAAGGCCACTTGGCTCTCCAGATAGCAGTGAATTTCCTGCTTGCTGCTTATACTCTTATAGCTGATAACGATGAGGTTGCTGACGCACAATATGCTATCATCTAACATAAAGGGCGTGACAAATGGCTTCCCACTGCGCATTGAGGTAGAGAAGGTGGCGGAAAAGACAGTTGAGATGAATGCTGACTTTCTGAAAAAGATGTTTGAGAAGATACAGTGGAAGGCATTCGTTGATGCGTCTCGTGCCATGGGTTATACTGAACTGCCAGAAGAAGCTGATCCATCCATGCTTGAATCTGATGAGTTTCTCAGTAGGTTTCACCATGCTCTTTTGGAACTTCACCTTGAAGAAGGTGCACTAGTTTGTCCGGAAACTGGACGACGGTTTCCTGTCAATAAGGGAATTCCAAACATGCTTCTTCATGAGGATGAGGTGTGAATTAATTTCTACTAATTAATTAGCTTTGCCCTGTTGTCAATGCATCTGCTTATTCAGTTTTCAATTAGGTGCTACTGAGGGCCTCACTTTGAACCGATAGAAGCATGTTTTTAAGTGTATTTAGAACTTGCTGGAGATGTTAGAAGTTTATGCTTTTTTCCCCTCTACTAAAAGTTCTCTAGCATGTGACATTAGAACAATGACGTTGTGTTATTTTGTGTTCCCATACTTGGGATTAACTAGAATTGAGAAAATTTGGTTCAGTATGATTACAAATTAATGTTTCTATCTCATCCGTGCAGTATCATGAGTAGTGAAGAGAATTACGCATACTACTCCAAATCGTGTTTAATTTAATCTAATCACAATTTCAAAATTGAGTTGGCATCTAAACGAATACAGATCGGTTAGTATTTAAGATGCTCTGGCTCTGCCCATATTATACTGCCTTCCTTGAATGGTAAAACCCCTACTCATATAGAAACGTCTTGTTCATGGATGGTTAATTAATTGACTGTTAAGCTGTTGCAATTCTATCTTCTATGATATTTCATGACTAGATCTAGAGTATGTTTTCTTTGGTCGATTCAATTTGCACAGAAAAATTGAAACTGACCATTTTCATGAAGGGTACGGGAAAATCTAGGAGATATTTTCCTTGTTTGAATTCTGAACATGTCAAAATCAAATAAAGTGAAGATACATTCGTTATTTTCATGCTCGTTTAGTCTTCTATGGTTTCATGAGTTGGTATTTGGCAGGGCAACGTATTTTTCGGCCCTCCTTTTTTCAATAGCAAAAATAAAATGAATGATTATCGTTATTCGAAGCCAATAATCGAATCCAATAAGGTCTTACAAAACAATAAAATGTATTGACATTTTTATTTTATCAGTTTTTAAAATTACAAATGTTCTTAACATTGTGATCATAAATCAGATATTATTATCCCCAATCTTTAATATAAAAACTATATAATTAATTTCTAAATATTAAAAAATGAGTTAAATTAGTCATTTATAATATATGAATATTGGCTTTTTTGAAATATCTTTGTTAATACTTCTTCTATCTCTTTTTATAAGCAACTTTGGATTCTATCACGTGGATCAAAATGTTATTTAAAGATAATAAATAGGTAAAAATTCAAAGTTCTTTTTCCAAACTACTCTTACTTATGAAAGAAAGAATGCGATGAAAAGAGATGATGGTTTGGAAAATGATATGATAAATATATTGAGTATTAAAATAAGTAATTAATGAGAGTAAATTAGAAAATTTGTTACAAAACTTTAAGATCACTTGCAAATGTTATTTATATTTAGGGACAAGAGAGGAATGATAGTTGTTATTTATAAAAAGAGACAGAAGGAGTAATGTACATTGGAATAAAAACATTTTTAACATTTGTAATCATTATGAGACTATTTTAAAATAAATAAATAAATATGAAAGACAAAATGAATTGATATTTTATGTTTAAGATCAAATTGAATATTCAATTTGTTGAGGTAGTATTAAATTAAATTTATGTGTTGTTTCCTACTATGTACTTTTCACTCATTTCAGCTGTATTTAAAAAACTTCTTACACCTCAGTAGTTATTTATTTTCGAGGCAAATTAAGAGGTATGGTTATGCCGCCAATGACATTTCGCCATTAGTACCCCACTCTGTCACTGCCCCGAGCTCCACCTAATACATTCCGGGGTCGCCTTTATTCTCAATATCGAACCTATTCACTTTCAACAAAAGGCCAAGACCCACTCGGTGTAAACTTTGAAGGAATCTACATCTTGAGCGAATTTCTTATTCACCATAACCAGGGTTTGCATTTGTTTCCTAAAATAATTTAGTTACACTGCAAATAAGGAAATTAGATGGGCCCATTAATTCATAAAGAAGAAAAACAAGGGCAAAAACTATACTCTTTTTCTACTGTTTTCTCTCTAATGCTTTCTGGGGATTGGGGGTATCATAATATATAAATCAAAACATCCATCTTGGTGAAGAATGAACAGAAGTTTGCCGGGGTCTGACAGTGTGAGTGTGATCCAAGTTGCTGCGTTTCATGATAGAGGATACAGTGGGGCTAAAATAGTCATTACTCCTCTGAGAAGTTGCTCCTTGTGAATACATTTTCTTCCCATTGATGAAGCTTCTCTGGTTTTCTGGCGTCATCTTGCCCGCTGCCGGATTCCTTTGGTTAGAACCCCATCTATTGTAACCAACACAGCTCTGGCTCCTTCTTACTGACTGAAACTTCCCCTCTCTAGGGCTTGTATAGTTGCGACTCTCAGCCGTTTCTGCAGAGTACATAGTCTCTTCTTCACTGCTGTATCCGTGGTGCATGTCTAATACTTGCATTGGCGGCGAGGAACTAGATTGAACCTCGCTTTGTGCTCCATTCACAGAACCCGTTGAGGAAACCTCTACACTAGGAGGTCCTGGCCTTTTGTTTCGGTTTTGTTCTCCTTCCAACTCGCTTTCTGATGAAGGTTCCTTGGCACGATGTGGATGTAGTTCTTGTTCTGCATGAGATTGTTGTAAACCTGTAGGTTTAGTAATCCTTGGGGGAAAATTGATATCTAAAAGCTGTACTGGCATATTTTCCTTTCTCCTCAAAGGATTAGAAGTTAATTTAGGTGATTCATATATTTCTGGAGTGGGAATTCCCTGGACATAGGCAGTATTAGGATTTGTGGTCAAACTCTCTTCAACAGTGTTAGCTCCAGCAGCGGCAGAAAAAGTTGGTCCTTGATCCTTTGTCTTCGATATATTATTTGATGATGACCCAGTGCCATCATTATTGTCAGCCTCTATTGACTTGAAGACTTGCCGTTGTGTGAAGGAAGTACATGAATGCTCACTCTTCAGGCCAGTGGACATCAACCGAATTATTGGTAATTTTGGTTTGTTAAGCTCATCAAGACTGCCTTCCCAATGCTGGTTTAACCAATCACAAATGACAGGAATCGGTATACCGAACTGCATAGGGAGATCCTTCTTCCACGAGGATGAAGATGATGAAGAAGTTGAAGAGGATTTGGCATTTGGAGATGTGGCTAATTTCATTGGATCACAAATCATAAATGCTAGATTTCCATGTACATCAAACCCAGCAGATCCTGGCCTCCATGCCATCCCATCAGTTGACAGTTTTATAAGATTGTCAGTGGCTATGACTACCTTTCCCTCACCAACAGTGAGCTCTTGTTTATCTGTGTAGCCCAAAAGGTAAACCGCGCTTCCCAGATCCAGATTAACTTTGGAACAGGTCTTCAAGTGGTGAGGGCATTGACCCTGGGCACTTGATTCTCCATCCGCGTCATCTATACCCACTATTGTAAGATCTAATACAGAGCTTGTAATGAAAAACCTGAAACCAGTTGAAACAAGTACCATTTAATGCACTGCTCACAATATGATCACTTAAAGGGTAGCACAAGTCATAGTGCCTAAGTCAGATCCCTCTTTCTTCATTCAGTCATCCACAATAAGAGAGCAAAGTATTGTAGTAATATTTTAATTTCGCCAATTAAGAAACAGTCTCAAGAATTTGCAACCAATTTTCCCCTTAATTTCATTTGAACGGGCAATGCTGCATGAACTTAAATGCGTTAAGTTAGATCAGAACCAATGAACCAACATGGTATGTACAAATGGAAGCCTGATGATACTTGAGTTCTGTATTACAAGGAAGCATCTTTACAAGCTTCCCAGCTTCAATTTTCCACAGATAACACAGATGATCACAGAGCCATTTTGACTATTTTCAACCAAGCATCTATGGTAGAGTGCAGAGCATGTAACTGTTTTTCCCTCTTTAATGACAATAGCTAGAAGACTAACTTGAAAGTGAGAGAAGAAAACAAAATTCAGTAGACATTAACTTATAATGGGGGCCAAAAAGGAAAACAGAGTTCTTCATCAATAATAATAGTGAGAATCTCCCTAGATTTCTCAATAGACAGAAAATTGGGCACGTCCTGCTGTTAAAGATGGTCAAAACTCAAATTTTATCCATGTCCAGAAGACGACAAAAAGGTGGTTGCCACATGCGAACAATCACTATTATGATAAATTGGTGAGGTTCCAATTATTGGAGCTTGCCTCTCTTCTCTGCACTGGTTTTCAAGAACTGCAATATACCCACTTCAGTTTAAACAAAAAGTTTATCAACAGATCATTTCATGGCAAGATTTAAGAGTTAATATATTTTACACTGATCGTTCATTCAATTATTAAAAAAATATCTGGACGAAAAAATTATGACTTTAAAAAAGTAAAGTAATACTTCCAGCTTTAGAGAACATCCTCATATTCGGATTTGTTCTAATTGCAATCTACAGGTGTTTGGTACACTAGTACGTTAAACTATATGACATCTCAGATGCCGTGGTATAAAATAACATTGCTTTCAAGATGGCCGTGTCAGGTATAACAATTGAAAATTACATCATCTTTTCATGATTGTCATGAAAAGAAAGATTAATGGAAAGACATTTCTTATTGATTCCAATTCAATAAATATTTGAAGAAATGAGTTTACAATGGTAAATTTTGAGCTGCTACTGTTGCTATCTCCAGAAAAAGGAAAAAAGGTCACATAATTGTCATGCCTCAATGATTGCCAACAACGGATAGGTGGAAGGGGCAAATTGACTAACTTTTAATATAGGGTGATACTTAACCAATAAATCTCAACATTTTAGCCTTTGATGATGAAATGCTAATTTATATTCTAATATGTGCAAGTCAATTTATTGTAGACAAGAACTTATGCAGTAATTCCTTCCTTAGAAAACAGAAGGAGAACACGGGAGTTTTCTTTGATCTCACAGTGCAAGCCTATCATGTGCAAGCAATGCCACAAAAGATTAAAAGGCATGGAAGTCAAAGATGCTTGCTGCATTAATCAAAGCCAGCATCTTTCAACTTCGACTAACTTCAAAAGACATGAACTAGAGAATGAAGCCAGAACTAAGAATGTCTCTTGAAATATCAAGCGAACAAATTTCTGACAGGAACTTATTAGACGGTGTAACCCATAATTATGAGTCTTAGTTAATGTTTAGACTTTCTGAACAATAGCAGGTAATAGGAATTCATTTTCCATGGATGATTTATGGTGATCTATGCCAATGTTATAGCTACGTTTTATATATGAATTATCAGCAAGTCTAGCCAGTTATCTAAAATCCTTCACAGCCCATGCTCTCAAGTGTTTTTTTTTTTTTTGGACCATCATACTCTCAAGTTGTTACTTGTTAGTTCTATAATATCATACATCTTACTGGCAAAACGGGTACGTTATTAATAGCTTGCTATAGCTTGTAGCTCCCTACTAAGGCTCTGGGCACCATGATACTTGATCGGCACTGTAATTTAATTTAGCTTGTGGCTTATAAGAGTTATTTTTTGCAGCTGAAGCTTGTGACATGGATAAATATGGCCAAACAAAATAAAAAGATATAGATAAATAAACTAATTGCAGAGATTCTGCAAAGGCTGCCACTGGAAATTTCCTTTGTGGTTGATCTTGGACCCAGTTGCCCTTTTGGTTCACTGTCCAAGCTAATTATAAAACCGCCATTTATAAATTAACGAATAGCCATTTATCATAAGAGATGCCACACTCGAATAGACGCTACCATCTAAAGTCCAACTTTAACACTTCATTTAGCTGATAAGAGACAGACAACTGTAACCAAGAGGCAGGAGAAACCGACAAGTAATACTAAAGAACCCTGTAACATCACCCAAAAAAAAAAAAAAAATCCTAAAAGGGTAAATGCCTCCAACATTCATAGGGAAAACACATATATAAGTGATATCTTACCCATGAGGTTTCCCTCCCAACGATACATAAACTGTCGATTCCAATCCATTGCTTTTCTTTTTCCATAGATCATTTTCAACAATTCGAAAGCCAATGTGACTAAAAAGAAAAACCTGAGATGGGTACCTGTGAGGAACAAGAGTTGAAGCGACGCCGTTTTGGAGGCGGATCTCGGAGCTCTCAGCGGCAGCAACGGAGGGAAGATTAGCATGAGTAGTCAAAAGCAAGTTGCGGTGGATCAAGAAGCCGGCACCGGAGATCCCATTAGCGGCGGTGGAGATAGTGGCCATGGCCTGGGCTTTACCGGAGAAAATGGCGGCCTTCATTCTCTCGGACTTGCCCACGCCTTTGCAGAAACACCATGACTCCCTAAGGCCACCCATTTTTGCTTAAATTTGGAGGGTCGAAGAGGTTGGATCTAACAAATGTAGCTTCTGGCTTCCAACACAAGGAGGTATCTGGCAAGAATCTGCATTATTCTTTCTGAGGAATTCAAATGTCTGTGTGAGAGACAGTGGGGAACAAGATGGTCGTGAAATGAGTAAAGAGTGGGATAATATTAGCTGGACTGGAAGAGAGAGGGGGACGAAGGAGAGAGAAACAAATAAAATTGACCTTTTTATTCTTTTTTTTTTCTTTTTGTTTATTGGTAACTAAACGATAATTTTATTAGTCACTAAATAAAACGATCTAATAAAAATTATGATTAGGAAGCTACTTTTATTAGTACATTTTTTGCCAATAACTAAATAAAACGATCAAATAAAAATTATGATTAGGTACTTAATAAAGAACTTGTTTAAAAGAATTTAATTGTTCTACAAATTAGTACTTTTATTATAATTTTGAATTAGTTCTAATTTCAGCGGTTTAAGTTTAGAAAAAATCGCCCATAAATTATTTTTTGAGAATTAAATGTACCATAATACCTCAATTTGAGTACATGTATTTTTTATATTTAATAGTTTTAAAACACAAAAACTTATTAAATATCATTACATAATTGAACAAGTTGTTGATATATACTCTAAAACCTCAAAAAGGGAAATCATTGATCTAATAAAAAAAATCATTAGATAATTAGTTTTTCAAATAAGTATAAATGGGCAATTTTTCTTAAATTTATTAATTTTTTTAATGTTAAACATTAAAATGAGAAAATTGTTGGAATTTTTTTATTCAAAATTTTGTTATTTAAAGGTACCTAAAGTTTGTTTAAAAATCCAAATCTTTGGATGAGTCAATGAGGCCATCTTCTATTAATTTCAGTTATTCGTAACATAGGAAACAAAACTAAAAATATGTTAAATTTAATGAAAAAGGAATTGTCCTGGGAGCAGTTGGAGTGAAAATGAGAGAACACTGAGCAAGAACTAAAGAAAGCAATAATTACAAAAGTGTTTGGTAATCTCTAAAATATAATTTTAAAAATATTTTTTATAAAACCAGACAAATTTTTTTATATATTTATTTTGAAAACTATAAAACCACTTTTAAAATTATATCACCCCCTAAATCCGCAGGCTCACGACAGCGATCTCGCTCATCGCTCTTATTCTCGCCGTCCCCTCCACCAGATATAGAGCGGAAGCCACGCACGGCACTCGTTCCTGTAATTTTCTTCTCTTTCTCTAGCAGCTCTGTGTCTGTCTGCTCTTAATCTCACTGCGTATCAGCCTGTCTTTGTTTCATTTTGGCGGGTCGGTGATATAAACTGGATGCTTGCCGTTTCGGGATTCGGGGATTTTAGGCTTTTTGCTTGTGACCAAAAGGACCGAAGACAACACGATTGATTGTTTACTTAGAATATTGATTTTGATTCCTCCTGCTTATTCTCCTGTGTTTGGATTTTTATACCTTTCACTACTCATTAGGATTCTTGTGTGCTGCATTTCGCGTCTTCTGATTTTGTGTGTATGTGTTTTTATTAACTTATCCGTGGATACATGGGCAACTTTTGAACCCTTTGCGTGAATTCGAGAAAAATAAAATAACAGAACAGAGTCTGGACGGGATATGCCGTCCTCGGTGCAAAATCATTGAAAAATTAACAATTAGTTTTTTTTTAAAAAAAATCCCAATTGATCTAGTCTTCTCTTTGGTTTGAGATTGATCTCTGCCGAGGAACGACGACACCCACCGTTGCCAACCTTCGTTCACGACACCGACGAAAATTCTATCGGTGGCTTGCGATTCCGTTGAAGTATTCGTTTATGGGATTGATGCGTCATCTGGGGCTTGTAAAATCTAGTGAGATTGGTCTCTCCATGTAGATTTGGTTGCCAGGGTTGCGATTTGCAAATATTTCATGGTTTTCTTGCTAAAATCTCGCTAGTTCGTGGCTTGGAATTTTACTTTGCTGTACTACGATGCTGACCAGTATATTTTAATGTTAATGATTACATTTGCACTCTGTTTGTGGATTTTACTGCTCAGTGCTCTGCTTCTTTCTAGTTAGAGTTGCAGTGGGAGTTGGAAAATATATCTATAGTTCAATGGCTCGTGCATCAAATTCATCTTCGTTTTCTAGTTGCCTGGGAAGTAGCCTTGCTGGTGATTTATGCATTTACCGTGTATTATGACTGATATAGCTTAGAAAGTGCAGAGGTTAGGTAATTAGGATGCATGTTGAATGCATATTCTTTTTCATTCTGACGTTTGTAGATTGTAAATATAATGCATGTCTGAATTCAGAACCTATAATGATGACGTAGTTAATTATAACATTTTTTTTGTTAAGCTATAGTTCTTATTGAACTATGGTGTTGTAATAAAGAGCTGAAATTATTTCACCCAAAAAAAAAGAGAGCTGAAATTATCCTCCTTAGGAATTGTAGTATGAAAATTTGAATAATTCCCCATTCAATTGGACATAAAGTTGTGTAACAATACATTTGGAGTGTCTCAAACCTTGCTTATATGAATCATTTACAATGATGTATACTGTCAAGAAAGTTGCAACCTGAATATTCAAGAAAATATGCATTAACTATATAAACAAATATGTTAACCTCAAAATGAAAGGTTTTTTGTATCCCTAATATGCATATGCAGATTGTGTTTGCTGTTGGCTAAAAAAAGTCTAGTTGCTAGTTCGATTTATTAATTATCCTTCTACTTACAATTTTCATTTATTTATTTTCCTGGCAAGGTGTTTTGATAATTTGATGTTGATGTCTTGATGTCATTTTTGTATTTGTGCTCTGCCTGTCTCAATTGCCTTTACTTGTTTGTGGCTTCTTTTGTGGACATAAATACTTCAATGAGCAGTTTTAAATTTCTGGGTTGAATGGAAGCTTATGACAAGCTTGACCCAAATTTCTTGTTTTGCAGATACGTTGATTTAAGATGCTTCAGCATCAAATTGTGCAATCCCCAGCACGACTGGGCCTCACAAATGCTAATTCACCTTCCATTCAAAACCCTACACCTCCCAAGCTTCCTCCATCCCACTCCCATCACCCTCAACCCCACCATCAACACACTTCCAATGCTCCTTCCCCTGCACTCCTCTCTCTTCTCCCTCCCCTCCCTAGAGCTCAAGCTCTTCTTCTCCAAATGGCTTCTTTGGCTTCCAAGCTCTTTGAAGTATCTCCCAATAGATCCCTTTGGGTTACTGCCTTCCGTGGATCCGTCCCCACTTTCCTTTCTTCGCAAACCCAACCACAGTCTTCTACCTCTTTAGAGTCTTCTCTTTCCTCCACCAAGGAAATTCTTTCACTTTTCACAGCTCTTCAAACCCAAATCTTTGAAGCTGTTGCAGAGCTCCAAGAAATTCTTGATCTGCAAGATGTTAAGCAGAATGTTGGTCGAGAAATTCATGCCAAAGATGCAGGGATGCTTGCATTTGCCAACAAACTCAAAGATGCTGAGCGAGTTCTTGACATTCTTGTTGATGATTATTCTGATTATCGCCGGCCTAAGCGATTGAAATCAGGAGAGAGCAATGACGATGATTCTTTGAACTCAACAACTGTTTCATCTCACCTAAAGCTATCTGATATACTATCCTGTGCCCATAGGATAAGTTACACAACTTTTGCATCACCAGAATTTGGAGCTGGGCAAGCTCCTCTTCGTGGTGCACTTCCCCCTGCACCTCAAGAGGAGCAAATGCGAGCATCGCAGCTGTATAATTTTGCTGACCTTGATGTTGGATTGCCTAAAGTGGTTGAAACTAAGGAGAAAACGATTGAGCCTATCATTGAGCCTCCACCTCCTCAGCCTGTGGAGACGAATCCACTTGCCAATTTGTCTGCAATTCAAGGATTGCTTCCTCCAAATTTTACAGTTCCAACTGGTTGGAAGCCTGGAATGCCTGTGGAATTGCCTGTTGATTTGCCAATTAAGCCCCCTCCTGGCTGGAAACCCGGGGATCCTGTGCCGTTGCCACCTATGAACTCCCTTAATGTACCAGTGTTCAATGAACAACAAGTACGCCCGCATGTTCCTCTACACAAGCCGCCTGAAGTTATTCAGGTGCAGCCTGTGAATTTGGATCTGGGAGGGAGTGATAGTAGTGATTATAGCAGTGATGAAGCTAGCTCTGATGATGAAGATTGACAATTATACGAGGGTGATGGTTTTCAAGTTAATAATGGAAGCATAAGACAGTTATTCAAAACTATTTACCTTACTGAATGAATCCCCAACTTATCGTTTCCCTTGAGATTTGATACAGTCATTGCTACTAATTTCATGTCATGTGTCCAATTGTAAATGATTGTCTGCTGAAGCTGGTAATTCTTGGACACTTGAGTCATTCATGTTGCTGTTACATAGTTGTTTCATGTCACATAGATGTTCTAGAATTGCAATTAATATTCCTTTGTGGAGGAAATGTTTTGCTGGCTCGCATTGTGTTATGATCATTAGTGTCTGCTTCAGTTTGCCAGTTATCCATGGAGGAATGAATTTATTGAATCGTCGAGGGAAACAAGTGCATGTTGTTACATATGCACACACATCGATATTGACTTGTTTTCCTCCAGGTTATACATCCATCAAAATTTCCGTCAGAATTATTGGAAGTTTTTGGTGGGTTTCACTTTCGCAGAGAAACACAAAGCAGCACAGAAATAATGGAGATTTCACTTTAATAGACGTTAGGATGTCTGATTGGAGTCAACTTTGTTCATGAATGTAAGAGATTTTTGACCCGTTTATTTTAAATATATCTTGTCTTTAATATAAAAGTTAGGTCTTTAATATAGGAGCTAGTAGACCCGTTTGAATACATTAAAGAAGTTTGTTTATTTAGTTATTTGTAATAATTAGGAGTTTTTTCTAAAATATTTTTACTAATCATGTGTATTAGTTAGAATTATCATTTGATAAAACATTTAACATGTATAACTACTACAAGAACAATCTTGGAAAAAATGAATAGATATAAAGGAAAAAATAAAGTGGGATCTTATATTTAAGATCAAATTAAAAGTCAAACTAAAAATGAATAGATATGAAGGAAAAAGTAGAGTGAGATCTTATATTTAAGATCAAATTAAAAGTCAAATTAACTTTTATATTAAAAATCGAAAGTAATACTTTTTTCCTGAGATAGATGTTT